CAATGTTCGGCCCGTCTTTGTCTGCGATGTCATCCATGTCATCCACATGTTCTTTCATAGCTTCGGCTATATGTGATTTGAGATAATCGAATGGGAATTCACGTCTGACAGAGGTGTCACCCTTCCGCCGGAGAGCATGAGTGATTTTCACGAAACACGGGCTTGTTTCTTCTGCATGAAGAGTCACAATGCTGTCTGGACTTCCAGAGCCTGTGCTGCCGTCTTCCCGCTGATTTCTGGAGCTGTTTGCTTGTGTGTTGGGGTTATTGTGCAGAGTCGCTGAACCACACTGCTCTGTGTCTGAGTCAGGTTGTGGTGTGTATGAGATGCTCTGCACTGCGTTAGTGGCCTCCTCTGCTGCGAGGGTCTCATCGCGGGCTGTTGTACAGCACACAAACTCTATACAATGCTCCATGACTGTCCTCAGGGTGTTTGACCAGCTCTGATTTGTATCAGAAGAGCGACACTGCTCTGTGTTACAGTCACTCTGCTTTGCGACAGAGTCATTTTGCAGCAGTTCTTTCTCCCATTTCACTGGCCCAACATCGAGCATGAAGTCAATGTCAGAAGCTCCCTCAAACTCCGGTAAGCTCCTAGAAGATACGTCATCCCTTGATTCTTGATTCATTCTCTTTATCATTTCACATGTTTCACTAGTCCAATGCAGCAAAGCAAAACCATCTCCACTTACCCACTCAAAGGTTGCATTGACATTTTCCTTGTAACTACTGCAACGTTTTATTAATTCCTCTATCATACATTTGTAATCCTTGGCGATATGCACTTCAGTTGTCTCACTGACGCTTCCCGAAACAAGTATATCCTGTATCTTGAGTTTGCACACATTTCCCACGCCGTTCTCCTTCCCGCAGTTAGACAGGTGTTCTTTTTCATTTGATGGGACCGGTTTTTGTCCACATAGTGGGTCAAAATCAAGGTCACGTAAAACGTCTTCAAAATGTTGCTTGTAATGATACGCCAAATGGCGGCTATGGGACTCGGGGAGCAGTTGTTCCTCCCATCGTAGGACTCGTCCTAGAGCTGAGGCCATTTCGGCCGGTGAAAGCGGAGGATCCATTGCTCTCCGGATTCCCTCCATCTCAGGGGCACTCGTGCAGCTCTTACCGGGTTCCTCTCCGGTGTCTCTGGGTTGCGCGTCTGTTGTGTTGTCGTCAGGTGAGTACACCGGAACCGACTGTTTCACAACAGACGCCTCTGTGATACCTTCCATGATTAGCCATAAATGGCGACTGATTTCTCTTTCACAATCGGGGTGTGCCTTGATGATAGTACTCACATAGATTCGATTTTCAATCAGCTCTAAAAGGCAAAACAATTTCTCAGCCTTGGTGACAAACGGGGATGTGTAAGCATGAATATCCTTTTCAATCTGTAATCCAAGATATTTAAGTCTTAATATGGTTTCGTGAGACAGCTGATCTTCTGGTTGATCTTGTTCATCTGTTTGAGCCAGCCGTCCAACTAGACTTTCGTTGCATTCCATACGGACACTCTCTACCTCCATTCTTTGGGCAGTAGCTCTGGCTGCACTGACGTATGTGAAGCAGTCAGCTTTTACATCTAACTGCTGTAAGATTTCGATTACGGCCCAAAGTCTGTCATCATCAGCAATCCCCGGTCTGTAGATTTTATGCAGCACAAGCTCGATTCGCAGTTCTTCCTTGTCCACGGTGTCCTCGCCCAGTGGCGGATCCAGGGGGGGGGCTGCGGGGGCTGGCAGCCCCCACCCAAGGAAAACTGGCGCCACTGCGCCGAAGGCGCAGTGGCGCCAATTTTCAATTCGCAACTCATCGGAGTGCCGCATACTAGGACTAGGATGCAAAAATCAGTCGAATAACGTCGTTTCAGTACGCTCCGCACCGATATTTCCAATCGTGTGGTGTCACTGTACATACTGATCCTGGGCGCCTCTTGTCAGGGCCACTGGGCGCCAATATTTCAGCGCCAATACGATGCGACTATGGCGCCCATCCGGGGCGTGGCGCCCAATTATGACCTGCAGCCCCTCCCCAGTGAAAATCCTGGATCCGCCACTGTCCTCGCCAGTGGACGTGTTGCACTCGGGACTGGCCGTGCTGTCCTCGCTAGTGGACGTGTTGCACTCGGCCTGCCCCGGCTCACCTCCGTTCAGCAGGTCCCGGTACAGTGCCAGAACACACGCCTCTTCATTCGGCAGCACACCTCCGCCCAGCACGCTCCTATATGTTTCTCTGGTGCTTATCTCCTCAAAGGGTCTCCACTGCTCAAGTTTCGGGTAGGCTTTGGAGCGCGCCAGCGCTGCCCTTGCGGCCGCCATCTCAGCAGGATCATCGCCCGGTGCTTTCAAAACTCGCGTCAGAGTCGCTATACGCTCATCGAGACTGGCGATTAGCGCCTCATGAAACAGAGAAAAACCATCCTCCTCAACTGTCACTTTGTCTATCGATCCTTTCATCTCTGGAGTGTCGGTCTGTGGTACCGCTTGCAGGGCGGCAACCAGCGCCTTAGCCGGACTGGGCTCCTGGTCGCCATCCGGTGAGACAGCCATGGCGGCGTCCACCGCGGCACCCGGCACTTCTCCGCTCAAATCCGTCTGACAGGTCTGCGGCAGCCTCGTCATGGCCAGAACCTTACCCCTTGCCTCGATTTCTTCCAGGTCATAAATCATAGGTATCACTGTAGGTCTCTTTGGCTTCGCCTGCTTATTTTCCATGGCGTCGTCGGACAAGGTGGTTTCCGTGTCGTCGTCAGACATGGTGGTACCCTCGTTGCCCGTCTGCACAGATGCGTTTCCTGACAGAACAGACACCCGTCTGTAGAGCGGTGTCCAGACTGGTTCAACAACAGCTGTAGTAACCGTCGGCCTACGTACTGCAATCAGGACATTGTCTCACTTCATACCCAGTCTTCACTCAATTTTTAGACTTACATCACACTACCTGAAGTCTTCTTGAGCGCCTCCAAACTTGAGTGACAGCCCGCTCTAGCAGCAACTTCCAGTCTTCAGTCAGTACCTCCAGTCTTCAGTGAGTACCTCAAGTCTCCAATGAGCACCTCCAGCCTCGTCACTACCTCCCGTCACCTGTCAGAACTAGGAGAACCCGTCGACTCTTGACGGACCGGCGGACACCACTGCGGCTCAGCCGGCTCCGTCTCACGTTAATACGACTGCCGGTGTTGTCCTTTATCACACACTTCCAATGGCTGCTTCAGCTGATAATGGATGGTCAGATAGGGAGACGGCGCCACTCGGTATCGGCTCAGCACTCGGACGCCGGGCGACTTGTTCGGGCAACGAAGCTGTTGGTGCAAGTTGAAAGATAACTGAATTATTTAACTTGACGTGCAGGCATGCTAACAAAAACTCACATTTTATTTTTGAATGATGTGAAAATGACCGCTATAAGCGTGACGATCATGGTATGAGCAAATAGGACCTATACTTTTATGTAGTTGTTTTAGGGTGTGCATTTTAGGATTGGACCGACCCCGCCCCAATCCTGAGACCGTGGTGGAGCCCCTGCGTGTAATGGCAGTTCTGGTACGGTGACAAAGTGCACGGGGCAAAGTGCACCAACAGCCACACCTTGTTTGAATTTGTCAGACGGGACAGCCCATCACGATGCATTAGCTATTGTCAATATCCGTCCACTGATTGCACTGAAATGCAGCGCTGTCGAGCACCGGTCGAGGTCACCTTATTTGCTGAACGCCGCGTTATCATACCACCTCGAATGTGCCTAATCCTGAGATTTTCAACAGGATTAGTGTGCTCGGCGTGGGGCCACTCTGAAGAGCGGTGAGTAATCCAACTTCCTTCAATCGGCGGCCCAGCTATCGGCCGGCCGGCCGGGGCAGCTATCGTTCTGGGGTCGACGGGGCTCCTTCCGTGTCAAACACAGGTCATCTCTGTGACCTACCGGGGTCAACATGTCTACCAGATGTTCAAATCCCCACCGGCCACATGTACATACAGCACGCTACTCAACAATTGCATAAACAAGAGCCCTCGTCGTCCCCCTGAACCGTATCAAAAGAGCCCACGTCGGTTGCGCTTGCTTATGAAGTTATCAATTCTACAAACTGATCAGATGAGACCCTAAAAATGAACATTGAGATGGGAAAATTGAATGTCATTGGGGGTAAACATGAATGTAAAAAAGCTGATACCGTTCCTGCTAAAGATTGCTTCTCTCTCTCTCTCTCTCTCTCTCTCTCTCTCTCTCTCTCTCTCTCTCTCTCTCTCTCCTCTCTCTCTCTCTCTCTCTCTCTCTCTCTCTCTCTCTCTCTCTCTCTCTCTCTCTCTCTCTCTCTCTCTCTCTCTCTCTCTCTCTCTCTCTCTCTCTCTCTCTCTCTCTCTCTCTCTCTCTCTCTCTCTCTCTCTCTCTCTCTCTCTCTCTCTCTCTCTCTCTCTCTCTCTCTCTCTCTCTCTCTCTCTCTCTCTCTCTCTCTCTCTCTCTCTCTCTCTCTCTCTCTCTCTCTCTCTCTCTCTCTCTCTCTCTCTCTCTCTCTCTCTCTCTCTCTCTCTCTCTCTCTCTCTCTCTCTCTCTCTCTCTCTCTCTCTCTCTCTCTCTCTCTCTCTCTCTCTCTCTCTCTCTCTCTCTCTCTCTCTCTCTCTCTCTCTCTCTCTCTCTCTCTCTCTCTCTCTCTCTCTCTCTCTCTCTCTCTCTCCTCTCTCTCTCTCTCTCTCTCTCTCTCTCTCTCTCTCTCTCTCTCTCTCTCTCTCTCTCTCTCTCTCTCTCTCTCTCTCTCTCTCTCTCTCTCTCTCTCTCTCTCTCTCTCTCTCCCTCCCGTTTTCTGCAGATAACCTTTTGCCAGCCTTCACCCTCTGTGCGAACCAAGGATCCTATAGGCCTAGGGCCTTCAGCACAATGAACCATTTGGAAACTGGTGCGAATATTACGTTTCCAAATCCGTTATAGGAAGAGTAAGCAACTATTCACCCTTGACAATCAATAACCAATAACCGGCATGCACCGAATCCATAAATAAGACAAGAGTCTGCTGCTATATTTTATTAAACCATACAGCTAACCGCACATTTCACCGATCAGCGTTCTCTCTCGAATGAGCAATGAATAGACACTGGACTGGTTGCCGCAGTCCACAAACATCTCCCGGGGATAAATAATCACACTAACAATAAAGGCTGCGCGCCGCCAACATAGCGAAATATCGGAAAATCTCAACAGGTCCCGCCCAAAACAGATAACTAAATGGCTTACACATTCGACCCATATGAAACTGTAAAAAGCTCTGGTTTCCTGAATTGAGACACCGACTAGCCAGCCATCTACCCATTCAAAATACATACACGCTGTAATTAAAACACAGGCTCTTCAGTGATAGCTGGAATAACTGCTTTCGGCCTAGAATAGCATGGGTGCATTATCCGTGAATGCTGGGTGCATTTCCTTTCGCTTGGCCTCACGAAACCCGCTTTTGGGGCTATCCAGCACAGATGGCCATATTGTCGAAGAATAAGATATATCACCTATCCTTACGGAGAATGAACATTGTACATACTATGAAGATTCCTCGTAAAGAACACAAACCCCTAGACCAACTCAGTGCAACTAAAGGCTTTTTGACATAACTGACTTATGACGTTAAATAGTTAATCAATTGAGCCCTAATAATAATTAAAACTGAGCAAACAGTTAAAATACTGGCACCAACTGGCTATCGTATCATCCCGCATCCCATATCAACTGATTTTGTCGTCCGAGGCGTTAAACCCGAGTAGATGAAACTCGAGCTACCATGACTGAATAACGGTGCTGAACGTTTTAAATACGCGGTCATTTAATGGATATAATAGATATTTCAATCGAATAAAACCCGAACTACGCCTGAATTACGGTGGTGATCGTTTTAAATACCCGGTTAAAATAGATATAATACATATTTTCAATCGAATATAACTACATAAGCACACAATCAAATCTCGACACTCTCACAAGTCACAGGACCCGCCGGTATGACACCCCTCCCCCTCCGCTCCATCCCATCCCCCAGGCTCCATCACTGGTCACCCGCGTGGTCCGCGCGCTCCGCCTGTTTAGACTTTTCGAACGCCTCGTAGGCAGCCAGCTCCTTCTTTTCCTTCTTCTGGTTTCGTAGCATGAACTCCATCCTGGGGAAACACGGTAAGACGGTGAGGAAGAGAAATCGGAGATGGAAGGAGTAAACATGCCTTATATAGCACCTATCCGACCTATCCGCATATCCCTATAGTAATAATTTGTCATAAGACACTTGTATCCGCCCTATCCCTACCCCTTCCATATCTTTATCATACGGTTGTGGTTCCGGGATGAACCCCAACTCCTCTCGTCAATCCACGTTTCCGTTGTCATCCATCCCCCCCTCTCTCTCTCTCCCCTCTCATCCTCTCTCTCTCTCTCTCTCTCTCTCTCTCTCTCTCTCTCTCTCTCTCTCTCTCTCTCTCTCTCGCTCCTCTTTTTCTCCCCTCGTCTCTTTCCACCCACCTGTGCTCGATGATTCTCTCCACAATCTTCTGCGTGGTCATGTCATTTCCAGACACCGGAGATTTGAACTTGCCGCGTCTCTTCGGTTCCAAGTAGGGATCTGATCCGTCTAAATTAACGAGGAAATCATTCAATGTTCAGTCCAGTCAACAGCACAGGTAACATGGAAGGAGAAACTTCAGTCCACCCACCAGTCAACGAGATATGCTGGTAAGTTCACTGCTACTAAACCGATGAATGTAAGGTACGCCTGAACCTAAATAGAGCTCTGTTGTACACCTAGGCTAAAGAGTTTCATACACTATACAGAGGTCTATGAATGAATGTAACCACCTTCTTCCTTTTCACTCGCTTACTCTCTCTCCCCATCCCTCCTTCCCCTCCCCCTCTCTCTCTCTCCTCTCTCTCCCCCTCTCACCGACATCCTCTGCCACCGGCGTGTGGCCGTGACACACCACATCCACCCGGAAATGGTCCATCAGCTCAGCGGTGACCGCGTACGGGGCGCCGATCACCACCTCCCCCACGTAGCGGCACGCCAGAACAGAGAGCGTCCGCTCGTGCAGGTTCATGATCGGGTAGTTGTAGCCCTTGTAGCTGGCGGCAATCACGGCGGTCAGACCACCGTGAATATATAGATTTTGGTCCTTATGGATAGGGGAGAGTGGGGAAAGATGCCCAGGGTTTTACTATGTCATATATTATTCGAAAATGACGATCGGAAAGCAAAAACTTGGAGTTTCAACGGAAGCCGACTTCATTTTTCTCCAAAAAGATCACACTTTCGTGCCTGAAATATGATAACTTTTTTTGCTATTAAGCATTTTCCTGAAGAAGTGAAAGGGGGCATCTTACCCCACAGGGTGGGAAAGACGCCCCCTGGCGTTGGGGAAGATGCCCCCTGCACTATATGACATAAATGGGCACGTGAATCGCCTGAACGAATCAGTAGTCCCTTCGAGCCTGCAGTAGACACCAAACGTCATCGTAAGGGCCCTCAAAAGTAGTCGTAAGGGGCTTCAGAGGTCATCGTTAGGGCCATCATAGTCCAGCGCGGCCACACAAGCCTCCGTGATGGCGTTCGGAGACCACTGTGGGGCCCTTATAGGTCTTCATGATGCTTGAGGGCCCTCGAGCCCATCGTGGGGACCTCAGATGCCAGCGCGGCCCGTGGAGCCAACGTGGGAGCCCTCAAAGGATGTCGTGAGGGGCCCTGGAGCCAATAATGGGGCCCACAGAGGCCGTCGTGAGGGCTCTCAGAGTCAGATGCCGCCCAAAAAGTCGCTGTGTGGGCCGAGAGACCGGCATGGGGAGCACCCGACCGTACTGGACTCTCAATAGTCCCAGATCGGCTTTTGTCTCTCATCACAAGTATGTAATAAATGATTTGACGGGCTGCTTGAAGGACAGCCTACGGATTTAGGGGGGCGTCTTTCCCCATCAGGACAGGGGGCATCTTACCCCAAGGTACCGAAGTAACATTACATAAATCAGTACAATTTGTTAGCCATAAAACTACACCCTGAAACAAACTGTTTGGGACACAGTGCACGCATGTTGATGTATCACGACTATAGCAAGGGACGCAAATATTATCTACCTTCTTTGATATTTACAATGTTTTGACACCAAAATATTTTTTGAAAACAGCAAATAAAAAACATGCAATCACCAGCCAGCCGTTGCCCAACCGAGCTTCGCAAATTTTTGTGCAGTTAACAAGGCAGGCTTCCGCTTTACGCTAAGAACATTAATTTCTAGGTTCGATTCTTTGTTTCGCCGCTAGAGGGGGTGGGGCGTCTTTCCCACCCTGGGCATCTTACCCCACTCTCCCCTAAGTGTGTATTGTGAGCGAAAAGCTTCCTTTACCGTTTTCCCTAGAGGGGGTACTGACTCCTGAAGAATCGGACCTAATCTAACCTGCCACTAATTTTCGAGTCCCCTCCACTTGGACTAGTGTCTGTTGGTCTAGTATCGTTTGGGCTAGTTCATTTGGTCTAGTGCTTTATTTGGTCTAGTGCCACTTGAGCTAGCTTCATTTGAGCTAGTGTCATATTTGGTCTAGTTCATTTGTGCTAGTTCCCGAAATTTATTTGAAATATATAGTTCCCTGAGATGCTCGTTGTCGTATATATTTCGTTCGTTCGATTATGTATAACACACTTCAGATTTCAGATGTTCGGATGTTGGTGTACTTAGTTCAGATGCCCTTTTGCCGGAACAAACATATATAGAGCTTCTTCAAACCTTAAAGGCAACCCGCCCAAATCTTGATGTTTCGGATTTAAACGTTCAGTGTGATAGCATATCCCACGCCACGAAGGAATTCCGCCCGCTCTATGGTGCCTTCCGCTAGTCTGGTTATAAGTGTTGTCAGTCGTGTATTCATATTTTTAACAGTTTTCTTGGATTTTTGAACGTCATGACCCGCCTTAAACCTGAAAAGATCGTTAACTTGTAAATTTTCTTCACGCTGGAGCGCTGCGAAGCAACGGAAGATGGAGGGATGGGGGGAATCCAGCATGGCCTGTATACCCCGATGCCATCCCTCAAGCTTGTTGGTTGTTCGGGGTATGCCAGATATGGTCCTTTCCTTAACATTCCACATATCTTTTGGAATTTGGGGGTTTCGGCGAACCCCTCTGCGCCCTTGCCTTCCTATATATGTGTCCTCAAAGTAATCATAAAGGTCTGTTAATCCCTCGATGGCAATTTGCTCGACATATTCTTGAAGTTGTTCAAAAGCTTCGTTCACATTTTCAACGTCAAGGAAGGCAAGAGCGCAGAGGGATTTCACCGCTTCTCGAACTTCCGGTTGATTAATGTAATTTTCCGTTAGGCCAGCTCCCTGAACTTTCCGCCAAACCGCTTGAGTTAAATGAAAGAAACAGCCTGCTACACTCACTTGAGGAAATTCAGTTAACAAAGCGCGCTTACTAGCTAACTCAAAGTCCATGATGCAAAGATGAGGCGCAAGATTTGGGCGAGCATCCTTTAAAATTTGGAAAAGCTTTATATATGTTTGAGTAGTTTTGTTGGGCAAAAGGGCATAAATGCAAGGAAAGACGTGTCCATTTGGCCCGCCAATGATAACATGTATGGTATATAACTGAAGAAATAAAGTAGGTGCCACTTTGAATGCTCCGTCCATCATCCAAATGTTATTTTTGCTTAATTCGTCTAGCATGACTTCGGAAGAAAGGACTATCAATCTGTCGTTTCCATCATCTTCATTGTCATACAGCAGGAAACGATGCTCTTCTTCTCCCCGTTTTGTCGTTTTGTACTTCTCTGGAATTATAATGCCTGACCTGTTGAGTGGCGCTACTTCATGTCCGATTTCTGAATGTTTTCGTTTTCTTTGGATACGTTGCGAAATTGCCTTTCTAGTTGGAGCTTCTGTTGTGGCTTCTCTACTCAAATTCATATCACTTATAATTCTTCTTGGACGCAAATTTGACGTTTCTGCCTGTTCAATGGCTTTGTCCAATGCCGAAACAACTTCAACTCTTGCCGGAACTGGGGGGTGGTTGTGAATTTGCCTAGATTTGCCTAGTAACAACTTGTCTTTCGGTATGATATCGTAATGAGTTTTCGCATCGCCAATTTTGAGTGGTAATATTTGAAGTATTCTTTCGGTAGACAAAACCTTCGAAGCTTAATTTGTCCCCACCCCTTGATGACTTAAAAATTTCCATAGCTACAGCCGATAACCCGTAATTTGCGTCTATCACACAACAAATTTACCTCGCGTCAGTCGAAACAGAAAAGGAATGAAAGCTGCCTCGTGGAGTTCTGTAAAAAAATAAAATAACCGCAAAATACAATACAATACAATACAATACAATTTTATTAGGTCCCTCCATTACATGGTACAAAATCTTTTCCTCGTGAGTCTAATTATTGTGCCAAGCATGATAATACACCTCCATCATGGAAATGAGTCTGCTGAAAGCTAGACGAAATTACGGCACTAGACCAAAGGCACTAGCTCAAATGAATGGCACTTTGGCACTAGCTCAAACGAAACTAGCCAAACTGGCGCTAGACCAGCTGAAGCACTAGACCAATTGCACTAGCTCAAAAGGCACTAGACCAAATGATGCTAGACGAAGAGAGTGGCATCCCTAATTTTCCCTAAACCATGCTCCCTTTAAACTGGATATCAATATTTCAAAGAGATAAGCGTTGTGAGGAAGATCGTCAAGATATTCATCAGCATTCACATTTTAATTGACCAAATCCATCCTGGATTGAATCAGAACATGAAGGACAAAACTACACATTTAGATTGATAAAGAATCGTATTTAAATATAGTTACGAGTTTTGTAATTTTGGTAATTTACATTCTGATTCAATTAACCCACGAGCCGCTGGGGGGGGGGGCATAAAGTTGCCCCCCCCCTTTACGTTTTGTGGAATATCTCCGAAACCTGATGAGCTACGAACGTGAAACTTGGCATAGCTTCAAATGAATACCTAGGCAATATTTGAAGAAAGTGTGGTGGTTGTAGCATCTAAGATGACGTCACAGTGACGTCATAAAGTTTTGTCGTTTTCCGATATGGACCGTTTCTGATGACGCTGAGCATGAAACTCAACTGTAAATGAACTAGACAGCACCTGCTGTCATCCTAAAACATCTAAGTACACTTCCATCTAGTTCCTAACCAATAATCGGCCCTTTATATTCGGTCCCATATACCTGATGTATCGTGAGGAAACTGAGAGTCGCAAATCTATAATTTGACTTATGACGTCACTGTGACGTCATTTCAAATGGGATCGACACCAAATTTGGACACAACCTCGGCTAGGTATTCAGGAAGATGTGTGCAGAGTTTCGCTTCTCTATCTCTTCGCGTTGCGACGATATCGCCGCGTAAGTAAAGGGGGGGGCAACTATATGCCCCCCCCCCCCCCCCAGCGGCCGGCGGGTGGCGCGGAGGCCCAGCGGCCGCCGGGTTAAGGATTCAGTGGATGAAAATATGGATGTCAAATACACGGACACCCAGCTACCCCATCTGCAGCGATACAGCAGCAGTCCACGGAGCGTGGCGACAGCAGTTCTCACCGGTTCACAATGGGGTCCGTGTGGAGTCCAACGATCAGAAAGTCGCCCTCGGCCGCCGCCTTCTCCAGAAAGTCCAGGTGACCGACGTGGAACAGGTCAAACGCGCCGGCCACGTACACCACACGGTCACCGGGCTGAGGTCACAGGTCAGATATGGGTCAGATATGGGTCAGATACGGGTCATGTACGGGTCATGTAGAGGTGAGATACAGGTCAGATAAAGCTCACATGATATTAAAAAGAGTACAATATACAAACAGAAAAACAGATTTCCTCTCTATCTCTCACCGCATTTTATCTTTCTCTCTTTCCCTGTTCTTTCTCCCGCCTCTCTCTCTCTCTCTCTCTCTCTCTCTCTCTCTCTCTCTCTCTCTCTCTCTCTCTCTCACCCTCCCCCCATACACCTTGGGCGCCCGTCCGGACGAGAACTGGATCAGCTGCCGCGTGGTGGGCAGGAACTGAGTGACGCCCGTCCACGGACTGTGTGCCGTGGCGCCGTGCTCCAGGGACGGCTCCGGCGGCAGACCAACAGAGTACTCGTCCTTGCCAGTCTGTGTAATACAGGTCAGGTCAGGTCAGGTCAACAGAGTACTCGTCCTTGCCAGTCTGTGTAACACAGGTCAGGTTAGGTCAGGTCAGGTCAGGTCCACAGAATACTCGTCCTTGCCAGTCTGTGTAACACAGGTCAGGTCAGGTCAGGTCAGGTCCACAGAATACTCGTCCTTGCCAGTCTGTGTAACACAGGTCAGGTCAGGTCAGGTCGGGTCAACAGAGTACTCGTCCTTGCCAGTCTGTGTAACACAGGTCAGGTCAGGTCAGGTCAGGTCCACAGAATACTCGTCCTTGCCAGTCTGTGTAACACAGGTCAGGTCAGGTCAGGTCAACAGAGTACTCGTCCTTGCCAGTCTGTGTAACACAGGTCAGGTCAGGTCAGGTCAACAGAGTACTCGTCCTTGCCAGTCTGTGTAACACAGGTCAGGTCAGGTCAGGTCAGGTCAGGTCCACCGAGTACTCGTTCTTACCAGTCTGTCAAAGGTTAGGTCAACAGAGTGCTCGTCCTTGCCAGTCTGTATAACACAGGTCAGGTCAGGTCAGATCCGATATGATTCACTGAGTAAGTGTCCTTTAGACAGTCACATTTTCATCGCGAATTTAGAACAAAAAGCTAAATTTGCTAAATGGATCAGGCTCACGTGCCATATTCCTCAAGTAAATATGGTCTCTGACCACCGCAAAAGCCTACCCTGACTGTCCCCGTGACCTGACCTTGAAGTGGGTCCGGGTCATGAGCAGCATCCGTCCGACCAGGTCGGTGGTGGAGACACCCCGCGTGCGCTGACACTCCCTGAAACGGGGGGGGGGGCGAGTTATTGGAGCGAAGGGATCGAAAGTCATCCCCTGAAAGATATAACAGGTACCGATAGAATCCAGAAAAGGTTGGTTGATTAGAGCTGATGGGTTGCCGTTGCTGACGTTTCATGTAAACATACGTAGAACGTAAACAGAGTCAAAGTCCAAACCAGTCGTCTTCCTACTTATTTATTCCTACTGATTAAAACCAGTGCCTTGTGGAGTAGAGAATTTATTTTCAAACTCATTCTCGAACAAGTGTCAGAGTACTGTGGAGTGTAGAGCCTTTTCTGACATTTTTGTAGCTCTAAAATGGATTAAATGTTCCATCATAATACACACAATTATGAATTTCTATTGCGGTCATTGTTGTTTCCACATCAGAGTATACTGTGGAGTGTGGAGCTTTTTCTGACATTTTTGTAGCTCTAAAATGGATTAAATGTTTCATCATAATACACACAATTATGAATTTCTATTGCGGTCATTGTTGTTTCCACATCAGAGTATACTGTGGAGTGTGGAGCCTTTTCTGACATTTTTGTAGCTCTAAAATGGATTAAATGTTTCATCATAATAAACACAATTATGAATTGCTACTGCGGTCATTGTTGGACGACACTCGTCATAATACAGATATAATCGACCAATTAATCACCCTGTGTTTAGTGATACTTTGCAAATAGTCAGCAGCTAATGATAGATTCCATCGAATGACTCAGTGTAATGTTATGTTAGACATAATTACGAGCGAGCGAGCGCAGCGAGCGAAGCGAGTCTTTTCAATATAACGGAAAAATCTCAGTATGAGCGGCCCGGCCCGGCCCGGCCCAGCCCGGCCCGGCCCGGCCCGGCCCGGCCCGGCCTGTAACGCTTTTGAGAGGCTTATATCTCAGCAACCGCTGGACCGATTGGCCTGCGGTCTTTTTTGCTGGGTAGCCCCGTCCCTTCTACCCCGTAATTGACTACTTTTGATACATCTCAGTGACCGTCGTGGCACGTGCCACGTGAAAAATCAAGGGTGTTCAAGCTGTTTTACAAAAGTAGTGATTTTGAGAGGCTCATATCTCAGCAGCCGCTTGGGCGATTGACTTGCGGTAATTTTTATAGGGTAGCTGCATCCTTTCTACCAAAAATAGGATACTCTCCATGCATGTGGGTCACCCCCAGTGCACGTGCAAAATACAACAATAAGAGGTGTCAAATTTGTTCCCATTTTAATAACTCGGTAATTACTGTGGCGATTTCGCTGAAACTTGGCATACAGGTAGGCATCCACCAGGCAATGCATTCCCATGTGTTGCGGTTAAGGTGCTACTGCACGTGCGCACGTGCAGGGGGCGCTTCCAGATCTCGAGAACGGCTGGGCCGATTGCGCTCAAATTTGGTACACGGTTGGAGACCGGTTAGTAGGGTGCCGTGCAAAAGTCAGTTTGGACCCGTTTGCACGTGCGCACGTGCAGAATGCCGCTTCCAGATATCAGGAACGGCTGGGCCGATTGCGTTCAAATTTGGTACACCGCTAGCGACCGGTTAGAAGGGTGCTTTGCGCAAGCCCGTTGGAAGTACCCTCTCGCCCTTCCGCACGTGCAGGGCTCACTATCTCGCTCGCTCGTTCTTCGCCCAAAAGGCGTTTTACTGGTATTTAACGTTCGGCGAAACTACTTCAGAAGTGGATCGCTATAAACCAACTGCAAACAATATTATCCGTGAGACACAGGGAAATAGCACCACGGTTGTGTGCATTAGTAACCTATAGATGCGTGATCAATATCATTCCGTGACCATGTTAGGTCAGAATCTGAACCACCTCCATACCCTTGTAATATCCTCGGAAATAGATGAAAATTATGAAGCATATTTCTAGGCGGAAAATGTTGACTGGTTTATTGCGATGTATGACCGCTGTATATATAATAAAAACTCCAAAAATCGCTCCTTCATACCCTCTGCCCCGTCACGGTTGAAGCGTAGTTCGAGGGACCCGTCCTCGCTGAAACCCTGCAATCTGCACTTGCGGCTCTAAATCCGTCACTATCAGCACAAAGCTTTGTCCTCAAGACGCCATTACTGCTGTGTACTCAGTGCTTACCGCGACACGTGCCACCCGCCCCCCCCCCCCCCCCCCTGTGGAGGCCCCGAGTATCGGTCTTTGGACCGGAATCACGCCACCAAAAACCGTCCCCCGCCCCCTCTAAGCCCTGAGCAGTGTGACACATCGAGTGGTACCGGGTTGTTGACCTGCAACTGCCCCCATCCCCGCTCTTCAGCGCCCCAAGGACAGTCGAGTGGCTTTTAGCCTTCGGATCAACAACCCAACCCTCCCCTTCCCCACTCCTCAGCGCCCCAAGGACAGTCGAGTGGCACCGGTCTTCGGACCTGCGCCTTCCCCCTCCCCGCCCCTTCAACCCCCCCCCCCCCCCCCCCCCCGCTCCCCGCCCCAGTCGAGGCACCCGCGTCGTCCTGTCTGTGCCCAGGGGAATGGTGGGGGAATGGCCCGGCCGATGCACCAATTGTTTAGACTGGACAGTCAGCTGACTGAGCCGGTGATCTTGAGGTATGACGTCATGTCACGTGGGCAGCCGAACTTTGGCATTGTTTATCGACGGTCGTTTATTACCGAGTTGAAAATGGCCCGATGATGTTTCCCGTTCGTGATTTTACTGTACGTGCTTTGCAATCCCAGCTGGACAAAAAGCAGCATTGATGCAATATAATGACGAGTTTTATCATACAAAAGTAGCAAAGCAGACAATTCTAAATTAATTCTCATGAATAATCTCATATCAACTACAACAAATAATCATTGAGCTACAAAAAGCGAAAAATATACCAGCTGAGGCCTGGGGTACACTACATACCTGCACATTACACAATACATGCATTTCAATATCGATGACTTTCGAGCTAATGCATACATATATTGTGAGACTTAATACAGTGCTAGGCAGGAAGGTGCCAAAGCTGTAATGACCAACATCGTGTTCAACGAATAAACCAGTACGTTATCAGTTTCTTGTTTGGCAAGGCAAACCCAGCTCGGCCATTTTTTATCCTTAGCACTGCTCCTAATTAGATGTGGATTTAGAGTTGTAGGTGTTCGGATTATAAAACGCGTTTTGTTGTAAATAACACATCTACATAAAATCGGTCACAAAAGGCGAAAAGAGCACTTTACTCGCTCGGGAATTGAACCAGGATAGCTGGCTTACATCGAGTAGCGGTAACTCACTTGTATCGGTTGGCCGCCTTGACGATATGGTAGGTATCGACCCCCTCGGCAGTCATCGTAATGTCATCTGTCAGACAATGGAGGGGGAGGTCAATAAACCAGAGTGTAAGCACTAAGGAAAATGATCTGTAAACAGTAATAAATACCCACATTTTGGACACATTGTCCACATTATAAATATCCACATTTCCTGAAATAAGTTTAATAGCTAATATATCTAAACATTTGTGAATGCTTGTAATTGTCATCAATATACAATATACATGCTATCAATGCGCCCATGTATAATTAGAGATCAAAACGCAGCTGGGTGCACGCATTTATTTGGCTATTTCAGCTCGGGATATCAACAGACAATGAACATCAGCTGCCACAATTTCCCCTTCAGATCAATATTCAAAATGTGTCGAGCCGCTGTAAAGCGGATGTGATTTGATACCGATGATTCAGCCCAGTGCTATCTGCACAGCAATGCACCACTACCGACGCCCCTAATGCTCCGATAGTAGACCAACAATCCCCGATTAACAGGCAGTCACAGACAGTGACGGATTACACCGCAGATATAGATAAACTGAGCTTGCATCGACAGTGAGCCTCACCAGATTCAGTCGGGGATGTTCATTTATTTATTGAGCACAGTTCAAATGAAGGCTGCGCGAGCGCACTCACGGCTAAATTCCTCCTATGAAATGCTCTTCAGACATTATCTACAGTTGAGTTGGCGGCCATTTAGGATTATTCCGAATAGCCAAACAAACTCAAAACCGCTTTCGTTTTAAAACAGCGACCAAGGCTTTGACGAGCATTTCATAGCATGACAAAATGGTTGACTACTTTTTCATAGGTACGAGCGAAACGGGCAACAAATACATAATGCAATACGTAAAGTTGTGAAGTCTTCCCATCGCTGTAAGTATAAAAATGTCAACAAAAACAGAACAAAATGCAACTCTGTGTAGCATGTCTGTGAATGGGGAAAACAGAAAAGGCTCGTTCAAAAACCCTATCAATCACCCAATCAACATCTTACGCAAATTTCCTCCAGAGAGGAAAAATTACGCTTGTCAAAATTTCAGAACGCGCTCAACGTCCACAATGCATCCACATAAACGTGCCCTAGATCACAGCCTACCTCCAGGTTCAGCCATACAAACGTGCCCTGGTTCACAGCCTACCTCCAGATTTAGCCACACAAACGTGCCCTAGATCACAGCCTACCTCCAGGTTTATCCACATAAACGTGCCCTAGTTGGTAGCCTACCTCCGTGTACGCAGAAGTCACACCCGTACTTGTCCAGTGTCTCCAGTGTTGTAACATAAGGGGCGGCTTCCACTACCTCGTCCACCCATTTGATGGCGCGTACCATTTTGTACCTGGTGACACGGTCGGGGGTGGGTCAGGTGGTTAGGGAGAAATACCGTCACATATTTATCCCTAACGGTATTTCATAATGTTGTGTCGGTATTTCTATTTATATACACTGTAGGTATTGCATGCCACCCCGGGGGCGGAGGGCGTGAAATACCGTCGCATCATCTCATAGTTACAAACACCATGGCGATATCAGGATAAAACACCGTTACGGCACATCAATAGTACATGTGATACATTGCGCTACTCAGGGGCGGATCCAGAAAATCTCCAAGGGAGGGGCCATTAGAAACCAGGAGGCCCCCCCATAATCCCACCTGTTGGAGGCCCCATCTTCCCACTTGTTGGGCCCCCCCCCCCAAAAAAAACTGCGTCTATTGAGCTTATCTAGCTGTTCAGGCAACATCTCAACATCTGTGCAGGCTTGGAGGCCCTCTGTGCAGGTTAGGAGGCCCTGTAAAAGTGGTCATCTCTGTGAGTATAAGAGACCTCCAAGTTATGAAAAGCTTTACCAATCTTCTAACAAAGAAGTCTTCTCAGCTAGTCTTCTAAGAAATAACTAAGTGGGTAGGTTAAAAAAAAAAAACTCATCGGATTTCGGCCACTTTATTTTCAGGAGGCCCCCTTTTCAGCTTTTTAACTTTTTAACTTTTTATTTTATTTTTGAAAAAAAATCGGCCAAGGGGGGGGGGCCATGGCCCCCCCCCCCTTGTATCCGCGCATGGCGCTACTCGTTTCACTCTGTAGGGCTACCGGAAACATGCACCAGTTGACAACATCCACTTGAGTTTATGTTTTATAGATTTAAAACTCATCGCCCCCAGACAAATATCATGATTGGAATCACACATAGTATAAGTTTATAAGTGACTTGGTTTCGTTTCTGCTAAACACAATCCTTCATCCGGAAAAAAAATTAGCACTCAAGACTTGCCTCTAAAAAAAACCTCACCATTCGCCCCTCCCTCACCTGCGCTTACTGCCATCTCCCGTGGTGTCACTGACCGTTCCTCCTCGGTGAACACGGGCGGCCCCTTGTGCTCGGTGACCTCGGCGTCACTGTGCACCCCCACCATCAGGTAGTCGCCCATGGCTTTGGCCTGACGTAGCGAGTTGGCGTGACCAAAGTGCACCATGTCGTAGCTGCGGGAGAGATGCTCGACAACGCTGCATTTCAGTACTGTGGACGGATATTTACGATAGCTAATGAAACGTGATTGACTGTCCCGTCTGATTAATTCAAATAAGGTGTGCCTGTTGGTGCCGTTTGCCCCGCGGCCCGCACCAGAACTGCCCCTGGTATATGCTGTGCCTCGTCGCCTCATTTCATAATTTGTATTCGGTGTGCTAGTGCAAGATTGATGTTGTAGATACTTTTTAGGTACCTATAGCTACATACCTTCATGTAAGATGTCTGGCTTTTCCCTGTTGAAATGTGACGCCGGCAGCGCTGGTGTTCACGCAGCTGTTCTGGGAGTCCTGCTGGGCCTCCCCTCCCTACCCCGCCCCCTTCCCGATGGCTATATTTTTATGTAAATCGAAGCGCGATACCATCCGATATTGATTATTCTCGTTTGCTCCAAATGTTTAACGTAACTGAATTAGAGAAAAGACGCCATCAATACGATATCATGTTTGTGGAAAAACTATACAAAGGTGTCCTCGACTCACATGTACTATTGGCACGGTTTCCGCTGTATGCTCCTCCAAGAATTACAAGGAGGATTGAAGGAGCTCGTGGAGTCATGAATGTACCATTTGCGCGGGTGGACACTATGAAAGGTTCGCTTTTTGTTAGGGCACCCACTATCATAAATGAATTTATGTTCGAGATAACAGATTTGGATTTGTTTCACGACTCAATGCGGGATGTTCGGGCTAAAAAGTAAGACGACATATACAAAACATGTGAGTCCTGGTGTGTACCGCGTGACTGTATTTATTGTGTTATGCATGTACTGTATTGACTGTGTGATAGATATGGTTGGTATATCGAGGGATTGTATGTGTAAGAGACGAAAGACTAAAGGCAATGTTTACAGTGCTCCGAACGTATAACTGCTATGGACTGTTACTGGGCGTCAATTCGCCTGTTGTTCCATGACATCGAATAAATAAATAAAAAATATCCCCGGCCTAGGTCTACTATTCGTCAACGGTGATAAATTTATTAAATCTACGAACAAAATAGACATTTTGGTATGCATGTATTTGTTTGAATCAAAGATAAAAATAACAAGTATAGGTATTCACACAATAAATATACATTATGATATGTGCTGACACAGATAACAGTAGTACTGGATTGGAAACAGAATATTTGCAGTTGCAGTAAGAGGCCGAATGTTTTTATGCGACGGCGCCAAAATGGGATTCTCGCGTGCTGCTGGGTTGATAATTTGCACATAATTTGTGTGTTGTGTATTGCAAGAAATCGTCATTTTTGTGTTTCGTCGTTTAAATTTAAAATCGAAACTACCAATGTTGCTTGCATTTGCTTAAAAATTAAAGTATTTTGCTTTGTGATCATTTAGAGGGCACAATGCGTGGTGTTTTCTATTGAAAAAAAAATTGTGGTGCGAAGCCTTACAAACGTGTACATCAACAATGAAGGAGGGGAACGTGCGGTAAAAAAGCTGCCGTTCTGGCTACAACCCAACGAACGAAGAGGAACAAAAGATTAAAACAGGAGATGTCTCACTGTTTTAATCTTTTAACCCGCGCACCGACGGGGGGGCGGATATCCGCCCCCCCCCCCCTGAGGTTTTTCGCGGATAGCGGGAAGACCGCGGCGCGTAGCGCCGCGAAATTTGGTACGACTATTCTCTCATCAATTTTACACATGGTGTGCAAGATTGAACCTCCTAACTTTCAAGGTCAGGTCACCAGGTCACTTTGAATGACCCAACCTCAAGTCACTTTTTTGCAACTTTGTCACCGTGCCAGAGCTACAGTAGATGTCGGAGGCCTTTGAAAGTCGCAGGATGTTATTAGGTCATTAGTAGCTACAATTTGTATATCTCGGAATTTTGATGTCGGTGACCTAAGGTCAGGTCAATTTCGCGACCTCCCCATTATAAGTCAATGGGGGAAAAATCAACTCCCTGTTTTTACCACTAAAACGGGTCGGAATGGCCCCATATACCATACATGACTTCATATACGGTCAACCTTCACTACCTTGAGGTCTGTTTTGCTGTTGGGCAGCTGTAAGGTCATGTGACGTCATCAAAGGTCACCAGCGGTTTTTTGACAATAACTCCGTACAGGAACAAGATACAGCCGCGCGGATGGTCTCATTGTGTTCAGCTCGTCAAGGCGCATCGAATGATATACATGATGACCTCGCGGTCACGTGACCTGAGGTCAACCTTTGACCTTGACCTTTCGAGGTCAACATATATATCATTCGATGCGGATTGACGAGAGGATCACGATGATGCCCTTAGTTTGTTCCTATATTGACTAGTTCGAAAGTTATTCGAGAAAAACTCTCTCCTTATCTAGCGCCGCCATTTTGACTTTTTTGACCCCTGTGACGTCATCTTTGACCTGACCTGAAAATGACCTCTGTAAAAATTGTAGACCTTGTCCGTGCGTATCCGATGCCGTTTACCGCTTGTCGCTATCTTGCTTCGTTCTCGAGATCTCAGGGGGAGGCGGTCATCCGCCCCCCCCCCCCGTCGGTGCGAAGTTGGCGCAGACCCCCGTCGGTGCGCGGGTTAAGTGGTGCTGATGATCAAAATGTAGGTACCTACACAAACTATATAGGTAGGCACAGTCTATATATACATACATATATGCAGACATATTTACAGATCACAGCAGCAACTACCATACGGGGTAATAAAATGCACAAGAGCACGAATAGCAATATTTATAGCCTACGCATGTATGTACACAGAAAAGGAATCTTGTGCACACAGTAGGTACACATCAATACAACTGACACAGTGCGATAGATACACAAACACATGTCGAACCATCAGAGAAGCTTTCCCTGCCATCACAGCGAATGTCCACATTGCTGTGAGAAGTCCGTTGTCCCCTCCCCTCCACGCACGAATACAGCTTACCACATATGTATATGTTTATGTCCACAATACACATCAATACAAACCAAACACATTGCAATGGATACATAAATACCTGTCGTGCCATCATAAAGCTTTCCCTGCCATCACAGTGAATGTCCACATGCTGTGAGAAGTCCCCCTCTTCACATACACTGCACACATTGTCTCCGGGAAGAGACAAGTACACCTGGCCGATCTATTACAGAGATAATTAAAAGCAGAAAAGCACAAATACCTACAGCCTAAGCATGCGTATACATACAATACACATCAATGAAAACCCACTCTCCACACATTGTACATACCAAGCACACAAACACCTCAGAAAAGCTTTCCCTGCCACCACAGTGAATGTGAGAAGTCTACTTTCACCCTCTCCGCACAGTGAACACACTGTCTCCGGGCCGAGTCGATTACACCTATTCGGGTCTCGTGGGTGTCCAATGTTCGTCAGACGCCAGAGTCTGGGGCAGTCTGACCACCCAGAATGGAGACCGTGTCAGTCTGTCAGTCTGAGCGTTCAGACTGATTGGGGCCCGGGACAGACGACAGTCGAACCATCCAGACTGATGGAGTCTGAGATATCCTGACAGTCCAGACTGGTGGTGTCTGGGGCAGTCTTACCGAGGAGTCTGGGACAGTCTGGCCGTCCAGACTGGTTTAGTCTGCTCGCTGATGTCTCAAAGATCACTGGCTGTTTAGCCTCACTTTTTTGGAAGTCGTAGCACTCTCTTCATCTAGTTCCGTGCCCCTCTTCCTCGCTTCCTCTTCCCCTTCTTCGGCTGTTCCGGTGGCGTCTCCGCTGCCGCTCCCAGTCTTCATCGCGCCGGCCACGCCACCCTGCTCCTCTCCCGCTCCGTCCTGCTCCTTTCTGTCTTCCTCCTCTCTCTCTCTCCGTCCTTGTCCTCTCTGTCTTCTTCTTCCTCCTCTCTCTCTCCGTCCTTGTCCTTTCTGTCTTCCTCTCCCTCGCTGTCCGTGTCCCAGCCATGCTCGGCGAACCAGTCGGGCTCCCTGCAGCGCGCCGGCAGCGACTCCCACCGGAAGGTGTCGAGGAACCGCTCCGACCAGAGGCGGCCCTCCACCGCCGCCGGGTACAGGCCGCAGCACAAGTCATCCGGGTCGATCTTCCCTTCATTACCCGGACTCATCTGGTATGGGTCGTCGACTCTGCGCTTCCAGCAGCACCAGAGCATCTGCTGCGCGTCCAGAGGGAGGTTCAGCAGGTGGCGCATCAGCCGCGCCTGGCTCGAGCTCAGCAGGCCAGCCAGCAGCAGCTGGATGGCGCGCGGCAGCAGCACTCGTAGGTCTAACACTATTTTCCCTATATCGTGTTTCACGTCCCTTTTATTATGCATTCCCCGCCACAGGTTGATGTCATTAGAGAAGTAGCATAGCAGAAAACCCTGTTTGACACATTCGAAGAGAAAATCAATGACGGCCCTCATCGACTCCAGCATCCCGTCAAACGTCCAGAGCTCTGGCGCACGTCGCTCGCAGACCCACATCATCGCCGTCTTCAGCTCGTAGCTGCACAGCTCACTTCCCGTCACTACAGCGCAGTGTTTGAGCAGGACCAGACAGATCCGCTGGGGCTTGGTCATAGAGCGGATCACCTCCGACTCGAGACGTGAAAACGATTTACGACATGGATATTGTTTTCCAACCAGGTAGATTGGCATCTCACTGAGCTTCTTCACCAAGACCTCGCTCGGCTGTCCCGATGGCCGCTCTCGGTTCACAAACTTGTCACTGACCCTCTCGGGGTACTGGAGACAGGGGACGAGGTCATTGCTGTCACCATTGAGGGTTACTTCAATGTTCGGACCGCCATAGTTTTTAATGCTCTCCACATGTCCTTTCATAGCTTCGGCTATATGTGATTTGAGAGAACCGATTGTAAATGTACCTGTGACAGGGGTCTCACCCTCTCGTCGGAGAACCTGAGTGATGAACACAAAGCCCGATGTATATGTCCCTTCCCGTACATGGAGGGTCAAAGTGTTGTCGGAGCTGTCCGCTCCTGTGCTGCCTGTTCCATTGGATTTATTTCCCACGGTGGCGGAACCGTTCTGTTTTGTTTCGGAACCAACCTGTTCTCTATCGG